TTATGCACTGTCACAAAGTATTCTACTACCCTCTGCTGGGCACCAATAGCCATTGAAAACATACTATGGTGCTAAATCACTGCAGTGCCAGGCTGAATTATTACAGTTCACCATATTAGAAATTTGTAGCTATTATGACATGCTTTGTACAATATTTTCTACACAAGTGCTGCCTACAGAAAGCATAGAAAGCAAGTGATGATGTCCATTTGCAGCATGCCAGATGTTCATATAGTTAGTCTTTCACTTTTCATTCTGCTCTAAGGATTTAGTCTGGTATTGCCTAATGGGCATATACTGTACACATTGCCAGAAAAATGATGTTGCTGTTTTAATTCAATTACCCATTTCTGTTACCATCAATAATGTCTGAGAATGACAATGCCATGATCAACGCCATGAGTTATAGCTATCACAGTATTGTGATTTACCTGAGCTGAGCTTGTCCTTTTGCAGGCTATCTGTAGTAAAAATATGGATCCAGCTGCATTATAAAACACAAATGGTGTTCGTTGCCTTTAACAGTTATAACAATTCATTAAAACTCTAGAAATGCATTTATGATTAATATTTATTACTAATGTAGTAGAATATATTACTAATACACGAGATGTAATATGCATTTTAGATCAGTGCCTCCCTGTTTATCAGTTTCAATCACTTCTGATTCTGAGATTTACCTTAGCAAGTATGGTAGAGTTCTTATAAGCAAATACCCAACACAGTGATGACGTTTTGATAGCAAATATGATCACACAGCAATACAAGCCTAGGAGAATGATCCTATGTCCCACTTGTAACTATTGTTAGCAGAATTTTTCTTTTTTGGCCTAAATTGAGAATAAGGCAATAGATTCAGTTCTACTACTACTGTAAAGATGAAGAGCACTGACATTACACCACTATTGTCACAACCAATTATTAAAACCATTCCTGTAGACCAGGGCTATAAGATTCAAGGCCAGGAAGGTCAGAGCACTGCAGATTTAATTTTTAGTCTTGAGGTAAAGATTGGAGTGTGTCAGAAGGGGAAAATCACGGTAGGGCTGTGGCTGTTCAGGGCCTGAGCTTGACATTCCTGCTGTAGGAGTTCATGTGCTATGCGCAACGTTCCAGTTATTGAGAATAATCCATCAATGGAATTAATGTAATCCTATTCATTAGTCATAGCCTGCATTAAAATGTTATGAAAGACATCATGCCATTTTGTAAGTCACTTCACTTCTTTCTCCACCACAGAAAACCCTCTCTCTATGATATGCTCTCTGATCTGCACCATATCCACGTCTACCATGACTGCGGTCATAGTCACTCCCTCAGTTATGGTCTTTCTCTGGAGAGTCAGAGACGGGTCTTCTCTCCACTATATACACCAGTCTCTGATAAAAAAAAAAAAAAGCAGAGGGTGGCACTGTATTTTTATTAAAATCTAAATGGCACCTCAGAAGTAAATTACAGCTCAGGTGAGTATACTGTCAAGTGTTTTTTTTTTATTATTATTTAATGTACATGTAATTCTTTTTAGTTTATACAAAATGGAACAGACATAACTATGATAAAAAAAAATCATAATCAAATCATACGAATAACCATAGAAATAATTGTTACAATTCATCGAATCAGGATAGGTTCAACCAGCATTGCCTTGACTTAAAAAGTCAAGATGGTTGAAAGAAAAAACTCTCTAAACTCTGGTTAAAACTATAAACTGTGTTCTGTGAAAATATGAAGAGAAGATAATCCAGCATATTGCTACAATACACATAACCTGATAAAACCTCTTATGGTGTTTAAGTGACATAATTAATAGAGGGCATGAGGGCAGCCAACCTGAGCGCTCAGAGCATTAACAACAAGTGTGGTCATTAAACATGAGTGCAAGGTGGCATGAATTGCATGCACACAAAGCTATTTGAGAGCATGCAGAGAAACGGTCTTGAGTGAGAGCACTTCAGTTCCGCGAGCACTGAGACACGCACGCTCAGCAGGGTCTACACATTGCCCATGAGTCGAGGTGCAATTCCCAAGACCTTGTGCTCATTATTAATGACCACATACTATTCTGAAAACTCAGTCTGACTGCCCTCACGCTCTCTGTTTATGACTTAAAGACAGTTTAAATGCCATAACATAAAACAAGGAGTTCTTTGCTAGTAGCACATGGCACCAATCAACATAAAAAAAGCTAAATAACAAGTTCCGTGACATTCCTGATTAATACTAAGTAGGTTACTCATTTCAGTATCAGTATCAGTTTCAGTACTGAGAAAATGCATCCCTAGTCTGTACAGTCAATATATGACTATTCATTAACACCTTGAGATAAACCAAGACAATCAAGACTGAAGACAGATCGCCTTAAGCCTTACAATGAAGCGACAATGTATTGTATGAAAGCTCCAGAGAATTCCATTTGTGCATGGTTAAACAGTAGCTGTCTATACAATAGCTCGAGGCCACACATCATTTGATTATCATTAGCACGTCATCAATGCAATTTAAGTGATGCCATGCATGTGTTAATTACTAAATTTAATAGGCATGCACCAATTCTATTCCTATACGATACCAATATCAAATCTCTGAGCGTTATCCAAAACCCAATACTGATCCACTATTGTCTTCTGTAAAGTAACTGAGCCAACTCTCTTAAAGCTTCCAGTGGCCAGTTATGCAAAGCTATTTAAGACTAACATCAGCCCTGATACTGATACGCAGTATTTGATTTGTGCATACTTAACACTTGGTCTTACAATACACCACAAATTAATATACTAAAAGCATTGCCTGCTGGTTTAACTTACAGCTCTTTCCATAAATTGTCCTTCATAAAGGTCCATGATGGTGTAATCTTGTATGTATGATACTGCAAACTAAAATGTTTTCCGTTTACAATCTATTGGATTTAAATACCTAATAAATAAGTATATTTATATCTGATTATCTATAGAAAAACTAAATGAACTGCATAATGTATAAGTTCTAATGTTATTACTTCTTTTATAGGAGTTATAGAACTTTGAAGGCTGTTTGATTACATAACTGTGGGTATTCCTATGAGAAAGCAATATTAATAATATTTAATAACTACACATGAATTAATAATTACACATGTGGATCAATTCAGTCATATTTTGTCTTCATGTATGAAACATGAAACATGTAAATATCTTATGTAGCTTCTGAAGGGCAGTACTAAATGAAAGAAATACGAACTTTAAACAAAATAATAGCAATTTACACCAATCATCCTGTTCAAAAGTTTACACCCCCTGGCTCTTAATGTAGTGTGTTGCCTTCTTGAGCATCAGTGAATGTTTGCACCTTTTGTAGTAGTTGTGTACGAGTCCCTCAGTTGTCCTCAGCGTGAAAAGATAGAGCTCAACATCATATAGCCACTGCTGGAAAGGGGTTAAATATGCAGAAGATGCTGGAAAAGCAAAGAATGTGCAGGACCTGAAGGATTTTTCTGAAGAACAGTGGGCAGCTTAACTGCTTAGGACAAACAAAGGACTCATGAACAACTATCGCAAAACATAAAAACAGTCGCTGATCTTCCAGGTAACAACACACAGTATTAACAATCGAGCATATGTAAACTTTTTCTGGTTCATTTGTGTAAATTCAGTTATTATTTTGTCTTGTGGACTATATGTAAACATCTGTTACATGAAATAGCTTATTCAGGGCAGTACTAAATAAAAAACAAATGCAATTTTTATTATCTCTCTTTTTTTTTTTAAATTATTAACATTTTGCAGATTCTGCAAGGTGTATGTAAACTTATGACCCCAGCTGTATTCTGTGGAATAATTTCCTTGAAAAACCCTTGTATTATTTGTAAATATGTAATGATCATTAAACAGTGTTATGATTTGTAAGCAAAATTTACAACTAAGAAAAAAATTAGAGCAGTATTTCTTGACAGTGGTCTTTTATCCATCGCTACATGATCTTGTTGAAATATGTTTGCATGTAAGAGGATATTCAAGTGTTACACAGGTGACAGGAGGGGTGAAATGGACCCCAATAAGCCTCACCTTGTGTTAAGCAGCTGAGCTCTTCTTACAACTGATGATCTAATGGGAGTAATACAGAGCAGATTTCACAATAGTACCTGACTTGTAATAGGCAAGGAAAACACTGACCTAACTATATTAAGACTTTTGTTTCTTAACCTTTAGGTAACATTTGAAATTCTGCCTTGTCATCTAACAATGTTGTGCTATATTTTAGTTTAGCTAGCTAACATTATCCAAAAGATAGGGTTAGGGTTTACTCCCCAGCTGCTGAGTCACCATTCAGGTTATCTGTAAGTTAAAGCAGTTTAGCAGAGGATTAAACTATCTCACTAAAGGAGATAAAAATAAGGACCTGAATCATCCAGGTTTATTGGTTTGAGGTTTTAATTTAAAAAAAGCAGTAAATTTTGTGTAAAGTTGTTGTTTCTTCACATGCGTGCTGTCGCCATCTATAGGAGAGGAGAAATCCCTATTTTCTAAACTTTTTTTTTTTTTTTTTTTTTTTAATGTTGCCAAATATGAGCATCCTGACATTGAACTGTTGAAATGTATTCAGGCTTTCTCAGCTGGCTCTTCTACACTTACTGCTCAACAAAGAAGTTGTTTGTCTGACTACAAAGGATTTTGATGAGTATCAGCCCTGATTGTGTGTATTATAAGACACATGCATACATCAGGTCTGCATGAGATATCACTCACAGTAACACAGCAACAATGACAGAAAAAAAACTTAGTAATGTCATGTATAAACTCAAAGCTTTCTGTGCCATGCTTTTACCCTTTTTGCGACAGTCAACTTGTTCGAATCAAATTACCCATTTAATTTTGTTTAAATCATAATTGACTCCTTTGGCCTCATGACATGTTTAAGGCTATACACTACACATACAAATGACTATTTTCTTCACGTCAATCATTTTCTTTTATAGATTTTTGGAGATTGCAGGAGATTTTTGGAGATTTTATAGATTGCAGGGGGGCACAGTGGCTTAGTGGTTAGCACTGTTGCCTCGCACCTCCAGGGTTGGAGGTTCAGTTCCTGCCTCTGCCCTGCATTTGCAGAGTTTGCATGTTCTCCCCGTGCTTCAGGGGTTTCCTCCCCCAGCCCAAAGACATGTGTTGTAGGCTGACTGACATTTCCAAATTGTCTGTAGTGTACGAATGGGTGTGAGAGTGTGTGTGTGAACGCACCCTGTCCAGGGTGTCACCTGCCTTGTGCCCCGAGTCCCCTGGAATAGGCTCCAGGTTACCCTGCAACCCTGTGTAGGATAAGTGGTACAGAGGATGGATGGATAAATTGCCTCTATCATATGTCTTCTCTTAAACTATTATAGTAAAATCATTGTTTTTTTTCCTCCACTCACTACCACTGCTTTACCTGAAAATGAGCAACTTTGGTGAAGGCTTTACGCTTCCTGCCACTTTATTAGGAACACGTGTACCCCTGCTCATTCATGCAATTATCCAATTGGCACAATGTATGAACTCACAGATAAAAGTCAAGAGCTTTATTTAAAGTTCACAACAAATATCAGAATGGGGAAAATGTGATTTCAGTGACTTTGATCATGGCATGGTTGTTGCCTCAAAGTTTGATGGTTTGTGCATTCTGACATGCTTTTCTTCTCACCATGGTTGTAAAGAGTGGTTATTTACGTTACCATAGCCTTCCCATCAGCTTGAACCAGTCTGGCCATTCTCCTTTGACCTCTCTCACCAACGAGGTGTTTCCGCCCGCAGAAGTGCCTCTCACTGGATGTTTTTGTTTTTGTTTGTTTGCTTGTTTTTTGCACATTTCTGTGTACCTTAAGAGACTGTTGTGTGTGAAAATCCCAGGAGATCAGCAGTTTCTGAAATACTCAAACAAGCCTGTCTTACACTGAGATCACATTTTTCCACATTCTGATGTTTAATGTGAACATTAACCGGAGCTCTTGATCTGTATCTGCATGATTTGATACACTGCACTGCTGTCACATGATTGGCTGATTGGATAAATGCATAAACGAGCAGGGGTACAGGGGTTCTGAATAAAGTGTCAGGTAAGTGTGTATAACACAATTACCTTTATAAACCTAAAAACCCTAGTAACTAGAGTGGCAACACATTAAACCACATTGTATTTTTTACAACTGTTTTTCTCAAAATCTTTGATCTTGTTTCTCGATGATCTGCATTCATGAACCAATTACATGTTTATTCCAGTCCTTAAATAAGAGGAAATTTCAGAGGAATCTCTAAAAATGTTTATTGTTGGAGTCACTTTAGAATTTATACTAAAAAAATATCAAGAAATGACTTTTCTTTCAACTTAAATCACAGTGAAATGAGTATTTTAATTCTAGCAACATTGAAAGACTGGATTTTTGGTTTTATTCAGTATGCAAATGTATGCATATTTAATTACACTAAGCCTGCTTTGCATAAATACACTTAATTTTTTGTAAAAGTTCCAATGCAAAAAAAAAAAAAAAAAGTAAGTATATCAGGATTCAACTGGAAGGATTTTTTTAAAACAAACAAGATTTTCTTTTAAGCAAACATTTTCTGTTCTGTGCAACAGCTTTGCACACTTTTGCCACTTTTAAACACATTATTAAGTATAAATGACTATATTATTATAATAACTTTGTATCCTGTACATTGCACTTACGTGATAGTAGGATTTGAAATCTCACATATTTCTATAGAGAAATTTCCAATTTCAGTCTCTGCACTCTTTCCCTAACTAGCCAGAGCCTGCCTCGTGATTGGCTCGTGCTCGCACCACGTGACTGACTTCCGCCTGGAGTTTTCGCGACAGCTGGAGAGCGGTTGTGCCGCGGGAGTATAAGGGTCGAATTTCTATACACTTTAATTACTGCTACATCCTTTTAAAATGGGCGATAAGAAGAGTCCGACAAGGTAAAGGAGCAGCGTGTGAGCAGCGCTGTGAAAACGAGGCTGTGTAGCTTGTTTGTAACTCAGCGTTAGACGTGGGGCGCTCACATAATCGTACATGGCGGATAGCTTGTTTTGTTTCAGCAACCATTAGCGGCATAAACAGGCGATGTTGCTGCACGAGCTGCGCAGCTGTGGCGGGTACTGGCCTGACACATGTCTCTGTTGTGTGTGAATCTGTGAAAACCGTATTCCCTTGTGTCTTTGTGTTTTGTTTGAAGGCCAAAGAGACACTGCAAGCCGCCGTCAGACGAAGGCTGCTGGGACTGTAGCGTCTGCACTTTCAGGAACACCGCCGAGGCGTTCAAGTGCATGATGTGCGACGTTAGGAAGGGCACATCCACACGGTAAGAGCCCGACCGCCTCTCTCACTCCCACCACGACTCGGTTTCATTAGCATTTTTAGCATATATACTATTATAACTTGGATCTTGAGTGTGCCAAAGTCTTCGTATGTTACTATAGTTAGTAATATTAGCCTAAACGGCCGTGCAGTGAGTAGCGTCTCCGCCTCACCGGTTCTCCCCGAGTCCTCGTGCGGTTCCTCCGCCTTCCTCCCAAAAACATCCCGGTAGCTGCACTGGATACTTTAAGTTGTCTCTAATTGTGTGTGTGTGTGTGTGTGTGTTTGCATTGTACCCTGTCACAGCCTGGCGTCCCATCCAAGCTGTATTCCCAGCTCGCGCCCAGCATTCCCGGAATTCCCGGATTAGGCTCTGGATCAGAGTCGCCAACTCTTTTCAGAGGAAAGTAGCTGGAGCACGCTCAGAAAGACGCTGGCTGACGTCACGGCCTAATTTGCATATCGACTTATTCATCCTGAGCATTAGCCTATCAAATTGCACATTAGGGTACATGAAGAAGAAGGGTTTTCTGAAGCTGTTTAAAAACAATCAAATAGAATAAAGTTTGATAATAGAATAGAAAGTAATAAATTATAATGTATTTCTTATAGAAGGAAGTCATCTTTGGTCACGGCACCGCAGACTAAAATGTTCCGTGTTTACAAATGACTGTGCTTCCTATCAGGATAAAAAAGAAGCAGTGATAGTGAGTAGTCATGAAGGAAATGTGGGTACAGATGGAATAATTTGCTATTATTACTTGTAAATATCAGCAAGAAAGTTTTTAAATAAAGAACGAAGTGTGAGGGTGCGACAAATAGTGGTCATCAGTGATTGGTTGTTGGGAAACAGTGGTGATCAGTAATTGGTCATTGTGGACGATAGTGATCAGTGATTGGTTATTGTGGACAGTGGTGATCAGTGATTGGTTATTGTGGACAGTGGTGATCAGTGATTGGTTATTGTGGACAGTGGTGATCAGTGATTGGTTATTGTGGACGATAGTGATCAGTGATTGGTTATTGTGGACAGTGGTGATCAGTGATTGGTTATTGTGGACAGTGGTGATCAGTAATTGACCGAGCTGCGCTTGCGACCAGTCTTTTCATATTGGTAGTCTAGTGAACCTGTTCTCTCAACTCGTATAGCAGCAGCTGTGATGTGAGCTGGAGAGCCATGTCGAGTGCAGGACAGTTACTGTCCGTGTGCTCAAAAAGATGTTGCTAGGCTCTTTTTTAAAATTAAAGTTGCTAAAGCAGTCTATAAAGCCACCAAATCTAGCAACAAAGTCTCTAAGTTGGCAACACTGCTCTGGATCCACCACGATACTGACCAGGATAAAGCAGTTACTGAAGAGGAATGAGTGAAGGAAGGAATATTAACATTAGATGGCAAAAAACTTTGTCGGAACTGGATGTGTGGGAGGGTGCTGTATATGTAATATGAATTAATAATAATAATAATAGCTGTTGTTGTTGTTGTTGTTGTTATAGAAATACCACACCAAGCCACAAGAAAGTGTCTGTAGGCTACTTTCACATTACAAGCTTTTTTGCACTTTCCATTTCTTTAATTGTTTGATTGGCTCTATCTTGACGGTTAACATTCATAACTGCAAGTGACCCATATCTGTCTTTAATGAGTTCAAGTTCTAGACATGATCATTGACTTAACGTAACTGTAGACACTGAATACTAATGAATCTGGTTGAAGGCTACACTGTGTGTTTGATGCCTGTCCTATGAAAATTGTTTTTTTTTTAAAAAAAAAACAAAAAAAACAATCCTCCTCCAAAATTATTTAATTTTATTTTTAGTAATTGCACACTATTGATATATAGATATGATATGACACAGTGCATATTGGTGTGTCTGATGATAATGATGATAAACCAACTGGAGACGTGAACTATATTGACTTAAAGATTGGACTGTAAAGATTGGAAATGATCACACCATTA